GGTCGCGCTCGTCGTGTCACCTTATACCTCATAGCGAGATCCTCATAATGAGCGCCGGTACGGCTTCGCATTCGACGAGACAACTCGGCAAAAGTCAGAATAATGCCATCGCTTGCAGACGCGAGACACATCCACGCCCGCGTTGGGGGACCACCACCCACGAACCCCCCCGAACACCCCGCGATTTCATGCGTTCCAACACCCGTCAGCCTAATCCTCGGGACCACGAGATTCGGTGTCAACCACCCGCACACCACCCACTCTGCTGGTGAGCCATCCACGATGAATCGCCCGCGGCCAATCAAACGGCTGCGCTGCGGGCGGTGTTGCGCAGGTGCAGATTGCAGCTTTGTTGGGTGTGGTCTGGTTCTGGTCTGGGTGACGGAAGAAGCACTGGCCACTGACGAGAGACAATGCCGATGAGCGAACTCGGGCATCGGCCCGTACCTGCAGCTCTCCTGCCTGCTGCGAGGGACCACAACGTCAAATTTTTATCTGGAGGATCGATGACGGATGCTGCCCGCTTGGACGTTGGTCAAAACGTTGACAGAAGCCGCCCATCGGATGGCAGCCGACGAGCAGTTTGAGGAGAAACAAACGAATCAATTGCGCTGCTCTCCCTGCACCCCACGTGCTCAGATTAGCGGACAGAGCCCTAAATCGCAGCGCGGGAATCATTGGCTACAGCGCCGAGACACGTCACCTGCAACTACTGCCAGCGATATCCCTCGGATTGTCGAAACGTTCTTTCCCGCCGGAAGCTGGGGAGCCAGTCTGCGGGTCGCTCCCTGTCGAGAGAATGGACATCAGCGACTGGTCGATAAGGCCAAGTCCCTGATAAAAAAAACCCACAACCCCAGAAATGCATGTGAAGAAACGAAATCAGGGTCCCCTTGTTCGCTTCTCGCGGTTTCCATGACTAAATAACAGGTCCGCTCGCCGGCCCGCCGCATCTCTACAAACACCCGAAGGGAGAAGAGACAGGACACGGTGACAACCTCATCACACGACTGCCGCTCCCTCCAGTGTCGACAGACAGACAGACCGGCACAGCGACGCGAAACAACGCTAGGCCGCTTGGCGAGTTAATAAAGACCAGCCGTTTACGGAGTTGAATCGGCAATACTACCTACACAGTGAAATCCCACCCGCGCGCACGGGACGAAACGAACAAGACCCAGTAATTGCCCCTCGTTCGCAATTCGCCAGCGCCTAGCAGCCAGGTCGTGTGATCAGGTCTGGTTCTGTCATGATTAAGCTTATTGCAACGCCTCAAACTCCTCTTTGCGCCTTTTCCCTCCTTCACCATCTTTGCCTACCACTCAGACACGGATTCAACACCCGAGAATGAGCACCTCTACCGACGTTTCGGCCGGGCGGGACGGTGTCCGCCAGCGAGCCCAGGGGCCGGCGCTATCCGAGGGGGACTCGGTCAGCGGCGCTCAACAGCCCACCGACGCCCCCAATGGAGAGGCGCGAGGCATGAAGACGTACGGGCGCACGCCGGATGGAACGGGTATGGTATTCCGACGAAGTCCGGCTTGCATTGGCGCCGATGCGCCAGGGGGGAGCGAGACAATGGGTCGATTGGCTAACAATGAGGAAACTGCAGTGTTCGTAGTGCCAACGACCCATGACATGGTTTCGCAGCTACTCGACCCCCGCGAGCCCAAGAACCTGTCCGATGCCGTCGTCCTCGCCATCCTCGCCCTCCATATCTTCGCCGCTTACTACCTGCCATGGAACCTCAAGCGCCCCGTCTTTGCTGCCATCTTCTTGTTCTGGAGAGCCTCCTATAATGTCGGAATCGGGTACTTGTTGACTGTCCAGTCCAAGTACAAGCTGTTGGTAACTTGGGCCAAGCGATGGAAGCTCTTCGAGGACCCTGCAACAGGAAAGAACCCTCGGCCCTGGCTGTACAATCTGCTCAAGTTCGAACTTGAGACCAAGATCCCAACGGACTACAAGTTTGGCAAGGCCCCCTTGGAGTATAACACATGGTTGGTATTCCGGCGGGTGGTAGATCTCATTCTCATGTGCGACTTTGTCTCGTACTGCTTGTTCGCCATCGTGTGTGGTCATCGCCCTGTAGGTGAAGCGGCGGCCATGACTCTCTCGCGATGGGCCATTGGTATTGCTCTTGTGGGTTTCAACCTTTGGGTCAAACTTGACGCGCACAGGGTCGTGAAGGACTATGCCTGGTACTGGGGCGGTAAGCGTTGCCTGTTGCCCAAAGGCTGCCTCGCAATGACTGACAGTTGCAGATTTCTTCTACCTTATTGATCAGGAGCTCACGTTCGACGGCGTGTTCGAGATGGCGCCGCATCCCATGTACTCTATCGGGTATGCCGGTTACTATGGCATTTCTATGATGGCTGCGAGCTACGATGTGCTCTTCATCTCCATCCTTGCCCACGCTGCTCAGTTCGCTTTCTTGGCCGTGGTCGAGAATCCGCACATCGAGAAGACGTACAACCCGCCGCCTCCGCGCATGCGGGCCGAGTCGATGAAGTCGGAAATTAGCAGCAACCCCGAGGCTGTTGACGCCCCCAGAGACGCGCCTGTGCCTGTGCACAACCTTTTGGGCCTCAAGAATATTGACCTTTTCCGAACTGTCGACTACTCCGTCCTTCTTCTCCTGGGCTATCTCATCGCCTTCACAATAGTAACACCAAACACCCCCGTATGGCAGGCTATCTTCGTAGCACATGCGATACTCTGGCGCTTGTGGTATTCCGTCGGTCTGGGTATCATCTTGACCCTGCAATCCGAGGAGAAGATGTTCACTAGACACTTTGTGAAGTATGGTGAGACTGCGGGCGAGGCCTGGCGCCAGTGGAAGGGCATGTACCATCTTGGCAACACCCTCTGCCATGCTTCCTTCGTTGCTGCTTGCTGGAAGATGTACAACCTGCCTGAGGACTGGGGCTATGGCATGGTGTTGCTAAAGCACGTTCTTGGTATCAGCTTGATCGCACTCCAGGTTTGGACTGCCACGAGCACCTACGAGTCGCTCGGAGAGTTCGGCTGGTTCTACGGTGATTTCTTCTTCGATAGCACCGGAAAGCTGACGTACACCTCCATCTACCGCTTCCTCAACAACCCGGAGCGCGTCATCGGCACTGCCGGTCTGTGGGGCGCCGCTCTCATCACCTGGAGTCGCTCGATCTTCGTCATGGCGCTTGTCGGTCATCTCTTGACCCTGGGTTTCATCTCGTTTGTGGAGAAGCCGCACATGCAAAAGATCTACGGCCGCAACGTTCGCCAGGAAGCCGGTCTGACCAAGTTCATCAAGAAGTCCCTCCCGGAGCCCGTCAAGGAGTGGCAGAAGGGCGTTGACAAGGTCATTGACGAGGGCCGACACTTCGTTGATGACTTTGTTCAAACCGCACGCTCCAAGCTGGCATCTGGCTCATCCACCATTATTCGGGACACAACCACTCTTTTCAACACGTACCCTGCCCGCCTCACCCTCAGCCGGATTTCACCTGATCTCGCCGGCTTCGATCCCAAGCACTATACGTTATCCCTGGAGGGTACTCTGGCAACTGGCTGCAATGAGAAGGCCACTGGCAAGGAAGGCGCCAGCGCGCGCGAACCCAAGGCGGTCAAGACCCTCGTGCTCGAGTACGGCGCACCAATCCGTGTCAAGTGGAGGGCCCCCGTCAACCACAGCAAGAAGGACTGGATCGGCCTGTACATGGTAACCGACAATCGCTCGCGCGATGTCACCGAAGTACCATCCCTCGGCCGCTGGGTGCCAACATGCCCGGGCCAATACGACACAACCACGGACCAAGGCATCATCTCGTCGGACAAGCACGTCACAATCCCCAAGTACACCGACGTCGGTCTTGTAGAAGGCGAGATGGTCTTTGAGGGCGATAAGCTCTGGTGGACGCAGGGTGTCTTTGAATTCCGGTACCACCACAGCGGAGGCCACCACGTCATGTCCATCTCGGAGCCCTTTGAGGTGCAAATACCCAAGTTCGAAGAGGAGGAAGATGACGACGGCGAGATCTCCTCCTCGGCTTCGTCTACTATTGCTAGCGGCGGTAGCGGCCAGGGCGATGCCGTGGTTGCGGCGGCGCTGCTACCCATCGTCAGGAACTGTCTCGATCGCGATCCCGAGATTGCCCCTAATACGGTTGATGAGCCGTTCGGAAGCCACGTCGAGAGGGATAGCAAGTATGCCAGACGGGTTGTGTATGCGATCAAGCATATGTTTGGTATTGAGTTTGCACCGGGGGTGGTTCCGGCAGATGGGAATGTGAAGAAGTTAGCCTGGAGGATATGCAATGCCAAGCAGGTTTTGGTAAGTTCTCTAAGTTGGAAGATATCACTCTGGGGGAGGTATGCTAATATCGGATAGGCACCGTACAGCATGTCGAGATCGAGACAGGCGCAAGGGCCGACAACACCAGTGGCGGAGAAGTTCCCGGAAAAGTTTTAAGGCGTATTGACTCTGGGGATGTAGATAGGTACGGTGGAGAGGCAGAGTCAAGTGGTGGGTGGCGCATTGGCACTGGCGGGAACCGCATGAGATACCATTCATGTTTCTTAGTGTGCTTCTTGTCGTGATTGGATTCGGCTCGAGCACGAGATGGGAATCCGTTGCATGGCGATGCGAGGCGTGCTTTAGTATGATCTTGAGCGGCATATAGTAGAACGGTAGAGATAGATGTTGGCAGGAGTTGCTGGAGACGGAGCAATGAAGACAGCGCAGCGGAGTGGGCTGTATGCTGCATTCTAGCGGTAATCATGATATTCTGTGCTTCTGTTATTTTGCGTTAACAGTCGTGTCAAAGTCGTACATCAACTGTGTTTCTTGACATCCTTCCCCTGCGTATCGCGCCGAACCTCCCCATACGCTCTGCACGCCCGAGCAACCGAGATCAATTAAGTTGCAACACACCCAATTGACCCCAAAAACAAACCAAGAAGCCAATTTACCAATCGACCCCTCCAAGGGGAGAGGAAGAGACGACGGCAAAAAAATGAGGTCGTGCCCGGGTTCGAACCGGGGTTACTGGAAATATGAACAGGCGCGAACCAAGTCAAAATCCAGAGTGATAACCACTACACTACACAACCTTTTTTTGTGTGCTGGTTATTGGCTGGAGCGCGGTAAAGTGGTCTATGGCGTTGGGTCCTGCTGGTGGCAGGGATGTTGTGGGCCGATGGTAGCCGGGGAGGGTTAGGGTTGGCGTGACTGGAAAGGGGTTGGTGATGACGACTGGCCACGATGGAGTGATGAAGAGAGGGGAATGAATGTGGGTGGGATTGGAGCGTTTCACATGGCTTTGCGAGGGGAGTGGCGGTGATGGTAGTATTCTTCTATTGACATGCAGGATTTACATTCGAGGTACACAGACGGTCTTCTACGTCCTGCGGTGCATTACTCCAGCGCCAGCCTGCAAGAGATGTTGTTAGTTGTTTTCCTAGCCGTAATTTGACTGAAGAAACGTACCTGGTGGCTAGGAAAGATCAGAGTATCAGCCACAACAACGTTCTCCCGTCTCCCAGTAACGAAGACAACAACCTCGGCGATGTCATCGGGGGTCAGGGGGTCAACACCGCTATCACCAAACGTCAGCTCATCCCAACCCAGACACAAACATTATAGACGGTAATACTCACGCATAAACCGCATCCGCCTTCAACTTATCCCCATTAAACCTAACCACAGAGAACTCCGTCTCCACCTGACCTGGATCAACCTCCATGATGCGAATGCGCGTTGCAATCAGCTCCTTGCGCAGGCTATCCGTGAAGCTGCGCACGGCAGCCTTGGTAGCGCAGTAGATGCTGCCCCCGGCGTAGGGTTCGCGGCCGGCGATGCTGCCGATGTTGATGATATCGCCGGCGCCGCCGTCGGGACGCGCCTTGTAGATGGGCAGGATGGCTTGGGTCATGTTGATGAGGCCGGTGACGTTGGTGCGGAACATGATGTCGATGTCTTCTTCGGCGATTTCAGGGGCTTTGGCGACTGTTTTGTTTGAAAATAAATATGAGTAAGGGGTGTCTTAGGTTAGGTTAGGTGGTTTGGGATGGGGGATGTACCTCCTTTGACCAGGCCGCTGGGGGTTGTCAGATCGAGTGCCTAAAACGTATATCTAGGGATTGGATTGAGGGACATACGCATTGTTCACCAGGACGTTGATGTCCCTCCATTCTTCGGGCAGGTTGCCAACGAAGGACCTCACTTCCTCGGGATTGCTGACGTCGAGCTGGAAAGGCAGGATCTGAACGCCGGTGCCAACCAGTTCGTGGATCTTGGTAGCGACCTCGCGGAGGGAATCGATGCGGCGCGCGGTGAGAATCAGGCGGAGGTTGTGAGGCTGGGTGCGAGCGAACTCAAACGCGCAGCTGCGGCCGATGCCGGACGACGCCCCCGTGATGACAATCGTCTTGCCCTCGAGGCGCTTCGCAACAGCGGACGACATGGTTCTTTGCGTGGCAGGCGTAAACAAGGGTGCTAAAAGAGGGGAAAGTGATGCAGAAGAGGGCGTCGGTCTTGCGAAAAATAGCTTTCTAGATGCAAAAACACTTCGCGCCGTCGAGAACATGGACACGGGTAGCATCTATATTCTGAGCTTTATCATTTAACGCCGATACTATCTTTCGCGTCTGACACGAGACGTTGCTGCCGTCCAGTGTTGTTTGAGCCGCTAAGATGGCGTTACCTCCCCCGAGTGCGGGGTATCCCCACGCCCCATGCGGGGCCGTTTCCAGCTCCCTCATTGCGTCACTCCCTCACTCACGCCTTTCCCTTGACTTATCCCCGAAATTCTATCTCACTCGCTCACTCATCTCACTCACCCTCACATCACCCCCTTCAAAACCTCACACAACCTCCCAATCACCTCCCTCGCCCCCTCCAAAACCCCATCCAGCCCAACAAACGGATGCGGCTGCCCCTCCACAACCCTCACCTCCACCCGCACCCCCGCCTCCCCTAACCGCCTCCCAAACGCCTCCCCCTCCCCCCTCAAAATATCCGCTCCCCCCAGCACCACCAACGCCCTAGGCAACACCCCCCAATCCCCCTTCCACAAAACCGGACTCGCCTCCGGGTGTTCCCAATCCTCCCTCCGCGGTAGATACAACCCCCTATACCAGCGCATCTTCTCCGGCGTCAGCCCCGGCATCAACGCATTCTCCCTCCATGAAGCATACTTCTCATCGCCCTCCCCTGCCGTATTATCTACCACCGGCACAACCAGCAACTGCAACTTAAACCACCCCCCTCCTTCGACGCCATACCTCTCCACCGCCCGCTGGCACATCACCGCAGCGAGGTTCGCTCCGGCGGAACACCCCGCTACCGCCATCCTCTCCGCATCAACCCCCAGTACCTCCTTCCCTTTATCTCGAACCCAGAGAACAACACCCCAGCAATCCTCCACCGCCGCGGGGAAGGGCGCCTCCGGCGCGAGTCGGTAATCGACGGAGATTACGACTGCCCCCCCGCGGGCGCAGAGGTGCGACGCGAGGACGTTCTCGGCGTGGATGTCGCCGAGGACCCACCCGCCGCCGTGGATGTAGATGCAGACGGGCCAGCCGGCGGGCGGGGGAGAGCCGAGGGGGGTGAAGACGCGGATGGGGATGGGGATAGGGGGGTCGGAGCGGGGGATGGTGAGGTCGGTTGTGGAGGCGACGGGTTGGAGGGGGCCGGAGCCGGGGTAGGGAGGGCGCGAGGCGCGGGAGATGGAGATGGGCTGGAGGTGGGATTGCTGGGCGTTGAGGAGGTGGGTGTTGTAGAAGGTCGCGTAGTCGGGGGCGAGGCGGGAGAGGATCGAGGGGTGGAGGGGGTAGGGGGGTTGGGTTGGTTGGGTTTTTTCGGGCATGATGGTGAGGGGGTGCCTTGACGGTGAGTGGTTGTGCTTGATGTTGCTGCTGATGATGATGCTGGTTACAGTTGAAGCTCTCGCCAATGCGCGGGTGTGCTGGTTGTTTACCCACCCATCTGGCCTCCGTCAAACGGAGAACAGAAGCCGGGTCGGAGGATATTGTGCGGGCACCGAGACGGGCTCTCGCAGATCCATGCCGGTTCCCGATAGGCCAGACGGAACGGGGAGGTCTGTTAAGGTATTCCCCGATTGCCCCGATATGATATTCTCCGATTCGTCATCTCGATGATAGGGTCGCCGCAGAATTTCATGTATCTCCATCTCGCGCTGTCTGCAGAATTCTGCAACCGAAGGGTGCCTTGAAGTTGCTATCGTATATATTGACTCGGTGTAATGCGAACTGGGCGATCCCAGTGTCAAATCTCTTAGTGAGGTAAAGTGTCGAACATATGAAAAGTAAATATACGTATGGTGCTTAGGTAAAGACACATTTGAGAAGTAAAATCCAAGCTGACTGAAAGGATGAAAAGAAAGAACACATCTGGCCCTCAAAAAACCACTCAGGTGTATCCAGCCATTCGCTGCCAAGGCGAAGTCCCCTCTTTGATCCGCGTTCATCTCTCCAGTCGAAACAGCAATACCAGTCGTCGGGTGTTGATCAACTCGTCGACCTTGTCATCACAAGAATCCAATGATTGCCGCCCTTGAGCTGTACGACCGGCTTGATACCTGGCTCCTCGTCCCACATCTCATCTCCTCAGCCAACATGGCGAGGTCATCTAACTGAATGCTCATTAACAACCTCCTGGGGGAGGCCGCGGTCCAATGCTGTCGTCTAAGAGTTGACTCCCGGGTTGTTGGCCTTGTAGAGGTCCACAGATGTAGGTAGATATCATTGACTGGCTGGGCTGAAGTAGCCATGTTTCCTTGATTTCAGTTCGTAAGGGAGTGACTGCGTGGAACTCCATGGGTGTGGTGTTTTGACCCCTTTTTTTGCGTGCCCGCCTCTGCTTTTGCTACGCTTCTCTATTACTCTCCGCCTTTTTCGCTCAGCGACTGCTCGTTTAGGTACTTGGTCGGTTTGCACATTTAAAATGAGGGATAACACATTGAAGCGACCCATAACTCCTGTGATCCTGGTTGGTTCTTTTGGTACCTGCGGCAAAGAGAGCTGATTGGAGCCAAGGTTTCCCAGGTTTGCACAGCCTCAACGTGTGTCGTAAGTCCAAAAATCACTGCAATTTTAGCCTTCATCAAGGGGATGAAATATCATGACTTGACACGTGATGTTAGCAGATAGATTCTTGTAGTGTATAGGAACTTCAATCCTCATCTCCAATGGATGGATATCATAGCTTGGCTTTGCTAGCATAAGTTCTGGTGACGCGACTTCGTTTCTATTTGCTGTTTGGCCCCACTGTTTACCTAAGCCACTCCCCTACCCATGAAAAGGTACTTTCCCCAGACAACCTTTGGCATGCTCTCTTCCTGCTGACGAGAATGGCTTTGCTTTCAGGCAATGCAATGAATGCAGTGAAGCACTGGGCTCTCTCGGGCATCCATTGGGAGAGATGACCGGGTTATAATATCAACCCTTGGAAAAAATGATGTATCATTTGCGTCTGCACTGCAATTTTAGTCCCTCCAAGAGAGACCTGAAGCTCTGACAAATAGATTAAGAATCTTCCATGCTTTTTTTTTTTTTACCTAAATGGTCACTGCCCACCGTTATGATCAGTACCTCTGGGAGGACACAGCCTCACCTCTTATCACCGGGCAGTCAGAGTGGCCGAGGAGATTCCCATGCCGGAACAGTGTCTGAATCAATTTCCCTGCTCTTGTTGCTAGTATTACCGGAGCACAGACTCACTTGACCATCATCCCCTCTGCCTTCATTCCCAGCTCCTCCTTCACCCTCCAGCACCCTCATATTTTCTCGGACTCTTATAACAGTCCGCGGTTCTAGGCTGTGGCGGTGCACATGCAGCACGCAGATTTTTCTTGTTTGAAAGAAGCCTCCAATCAGCTTAACGATTTTCTAGGAAAAGTCAACCTTGCAGCACAACTTTTTCATCACTGCAATTTTAGCCCCCCGCGAGAGGATGAACCTCAGTGTTCACAAGGCTCTGAATTCTTACGATCTTGGTTGGTTCTTCAGCTGCAGTGAGGTGCATGTGTCGTGCATATTCGCTCCTGGGAGGAAACAAACTCATTGGCTAGGTAAGGGGAAAAAGTGGCAAC